TTTGAGTAGCTTCCCATCTGATAGGGATGACCAGGGATATATGCAAATATTGTGCTAACTTCTAGAGAGAATATGAGGAAGAATGTGGTCACTTATTTTGAGTAGCTTCCCATCTGATAGGGGTGACCAGGATTTAGAATAAGGTCTGTGCAGAAGATTCCCCTAAAATTAACTTGGACGTGTTCTGGGTCTTCATGAACATCTTGGAGCCACCCTAGGCCTACAGCTAACGTCCACAGATGAATACACGGCAAAAGGGAGTTTGTAATTCAACTTCTAAGTATGTGGGAATTTCAATACAGGAGCAGTGGGGTGAGATGCAAATAAATACGTGTTTATTTTCTTTTCTGTGTCTCCATTTCTCAAGCCAAGCTGACAAAATCTCTTCTCCTTTTAAGATAGATAAAGCCCTTAAAACTTAGAAACATCTTTTCAGAGGGTGCATATGCTAATGTACCTGGGAATTCTTTGCTTATTTGGAATTCTTTGGTTTTTACCATTGACTTTGGTTCCAGTTTAAGGGAAATGGGAAGATGGTAGACCAACAGACAATTCAGTAGCTTTTTCTGAAATCCCAAGAGACCTGAGGAAATGTCACAAGTCTCTTACTAAGGCTCATTCTCCAATAGAGAAATGGTGTGAACAAACCAGTCACAAAAGGAGGAATACAAACAATGAACAACCACATGAAAGACTCCTCCAAATTACTGTGTAAATAATAATAACTCCGAGAATTCACTCCATATCTTTCGAATTGTCAGAGATGACAATGCCCAGACCCTTTGAGCCAGACATTACATTGCTAGGCATGTACCCATAGGAGGGCCAAAACAGAAAGAAAGGTCCCATGTAAACCAAAATATTCTTAACAGCACTTGGGCTTTTGTTTGTGTGTTTTTTGAGAGGGGAGCAAGGACTATTAATGAAGTAAATGCCTATCAACTAGAAAATGACTAAACAACTTACGGTACAACAGTGTAATAGAAGTTGTAAGAATGGAATGTCAGAAAGAATAGAATAATAATAACAATAATGTCAGCATTTACAGATAGCTGTTTTCTAGGCACTTTGCACATGTTATTTTATTTGATCTTCATAACCATGTGAGGTAGGTTCTATTATTATCCCCATTTTACAGATAAGGAAACTGAGGCAGAGATTAAATGACTCGCCCAGAAGCATACAGCTACTAAGTGCCTTGGGACAAATTTGAATTGTCTTCCTGATTCAGAATCCATTGTTCTACCCACTATACCACCTTGTTTCCTGATATGACAGAGATGAAGAATTCAGAGAAACAGCAAGACTTACATAAGCAGAACTAGGAAAATAACAAACTACTTTTTGACAGAAATGTAAAAAGAAAGAGCCAAAAAGAACTGAAAGGTATAATTATAACAAACAAGTATAATCCTAGGGGACAATTTAAAAACATACCTCCCTCACTTTGCTATAGAGGGGCAAGGGGACTATGGTGTTTGATATTGCCTATAGAGCCTCAGACATTATCGGTGTTTTGGTTTGTTTTGCTGAACTACTTCTCTGTTTGCCTCAGTCTCTGTATCTCTGTGTCTGTCTGTCTCTTTCTCTCTCTTCAGCAGCTAGAGATATAATTGATAGAGCACTAGGCCAGAGTTTAAATCTGGCCTTAGAGACTTGTTAGCTGTGTGATTCTGGGCAAGTCACTTGACCTCTGTTTGCCTCAGCTTCCTCAACTGTAAAATGGGTATAATAAAGGGATCTAACTTGAAGGGTTGTTATTCAGTCATTTCAGTCTTTTCAGATGTGTCCAATTCTTTTTGACACCATTTGGGGTTTTCTTGGCAAAGATACTGGAGTAGTTTGCCATTTCCTAAGACTCCAATTCATTTTACAGATGAGGAAACTGAGGCAAACATGGTAAAGTAACTTGTCCAAGGTCACACAGCTAGTAAGTATCTGAGGTCAGATTTGAACCCATGAAGATGAGTCTTCCTGACTTCAGGCCTGGAGCTGTAACCACTGTACCATTTAGCTGATAAATTGAGATAAAATCTGTAAAGGCACTTAGCACAGTACCTGACACAAAGTAGGTACTATATCAATGCTTATTCTCTCCACCTCCCCCCTTTCCCTATCTCTGTCTCTGACAGCAATGACTTCCTCAATAGCAGTTGGGGAGGGGGTTATTCCAAAGCATATGTGATGGAAAAAGAAAAGACATCAATAAAATATGATTATGTGAGGAAAACCCCACTTCCCTTCACTGGTGCCCATTGGATGGTCCAGGCCCATCACTTCAGAAGGTTAGCCAGCCCCATGGCATGCAGCCATGCTGTGGTTTCCAGGTTAATTTCATCAGTAGCATGGTGTAATATGCAGAGCTGTAAGATTACCCACAACTCCTCTCAGGCTTCAGAGCCACATACGCAGGAAATTAGGCAGCCTGGGGCTGGAGTGGGGGGTGAGAAGTGTTCCAAGAAATGAGCAGAGGTTGGACACTCCAATAGACACACTAGACGATTTTACAGCTGTTCATTTCTTTTTTTTTCTTTTTGCCTTCAGATGATATTACGTATCATGTCAAAATTAATTGAAAACACTTTGCCTTTAAAATATGCAATTGCACTAAGTAAGATGGAGGGGAATTTGATCAAGCTATTTTTATAAAACAGCCAGCATCCCATCAGGAATTTCAGAAATGTGATGCCACATTGGTGTTCATTTCATTTCACTAAGTTCCAGTCCTTGAATTTATTTTTTGAAAAGATATCTTCACTAAATTTCAAATGCAGGCTTTTGTGCTATATTTTAGGACAAATGACTGTGCCCAGATCTCCTTTATGTGCCTCCTTGGAAGAAACAGCACCTGAGGGTGGTGTAGCTACAAGCCCAAGAGTGGCAGGCAGCTGAATCTTTCTGCTTGGGTCAAATTAGAGCACAGCACAGTTTCCTTAGAATTGACTCCTTTTCAGGAAGAGATACATCCCCAGAAGGGGAGCTATGTGAATACAGATTTCATTCTCAGTCTTCTCTCATTTTGGATGGCCTGCTACCGTTTTGACATCTGTCTCTACGCTTTAGCATATCCTCATCTTCCCCTCAATGTAATGTCTGTGTGCTGTAAATTTCAATCCACGGAAAGCGACCGAACGGACAAGTTTCCTACCCCAGTGCCCATTAAGGATCAGTGTCAACTGAAGTCACAACCATTCCAAAGATTCTATTTTTTTATCTCAATTTCTCAATTACTGACATGCTTAAAACCAAAAAATTCACTCACTTCTCAAGCCCCTGGCTATAAGCTTGAAGGAATTGGTCTTTTCCACATTCCTAGCGGAATGATATATGAATACCCTAGACATTCCTTTATAAACGTAGCAATTTCCATGTCATACTAAGACAAGCCAAGTGGAAGAGTGGATAACACGTGAGACTGAAGATCAAATCCAATCCGCAGGACTTCTTGGCTTTGCGGTGCTGGGCCAGTCACTCACCTCTCCTAGCCTCAGTTTCCTCATTTTTATAATGGTGATTAATACTATTTGTAACACTGTCATCAGGAGGTTGTTGTGAGGCACCAATGAGATAAAGCATAGGATGCCCTTTGCAAATGTTCAAGCCCTAGATGAATGGCAGCTGTTATCAGATTGTATTTCTTTGGCAGAAACAATAATAAAACATCTGTTCTGTCCCCCTTTTGCATCTATTTTTATACGTCTTATTTCCAGGGACAACTGATCTGAATTAAAAGGGAATAACGGTGTGAGGTGGTGAAAGAAAATTGGATTTGAAGTCAGAGAGCTAGATTTAAATCTTGCCCCACCACATGAGTAATGTCGGGCAGAGTGTTTGACCTCTCTAGACCTCACCCTCCTCTATGAAAGAAGGGGTTTGGACTACCTTGCCTTCATGGCCCCCTTCATACAGAGCAATAATAATAACAATAATGATCACTAGCATTTATATAACACTCCAAGGTTTGAAAGGCACTTTACAAATATTTTATCTTTAAAAAAGATAAAAGAGGAAGAGGAGGAAATTTGGAAGCAAATCACAAGTCTAGCACTGTAGGAAGGAAAAAATCATTTACACAGTAGCTAGTATATGCCAAGTACTGTGCTAAGCATTTTACAAACATCTTCTTATTTGATGCTCACAATACTCTTAAGAGGTAGGTGCTATTATTATCCCATTTTTCAGATGAGGAAATGGAGGCAGAAAGAGGTTAAGTGACTTGGTAAGGATCATAGAGCTAGTAAATGTCTGAGGCTGGATTTGAACACAAGCCTTTTTTTATTCCAGGCTCTATGCACTACATTAGCTAGCTGCCTACCTTTATTTGTGAATGGTTTAATAGGCAAAGAGAAGGGTAATGGGAAGGGTAGCAAAGGGAAGGAAAAGGAGAAGTGACAAAAGTAAAAGGAGCATTGTGGGATACTTGAGTTCCCCTGGCACATGGAGAACTCAGTATAAAGAGAGTGTCATTTACTCAAAATGCAAACAGAAGAATACTGTGGTCACCTTCCCAGACCACTTCCACCCACCTTCTAAAGTTGTAACATCCTTCAGAACTGCAAACTTAGTCTTTTTATTTTGCACCTTAAAAAAAGATTTTTCAGACTGATATGGACACATGTAATATACTTGTACCTACAGAGTTCTTCATCTGTGTGTGTGTGCACGTGTGTGTGCCTCAAATACATATAACAATATGATGTCACTCAACACAAAGGTGAGGAAAACGTGGTTTTACTACCAAGAGTTCTTCTTCAAAAAATTAATCTCCAATAAATCTGTGACTTCATGGATGTGGCTGTGTCTTTCAATGAACCAGGCTGCAGCTGCCTACCCACGCTTATTGTTGTTATTGTTGTTCAGTTGTTTCATTTGTGTCTGACTCTTCGTGACCCTATCTGGGGTTTTCTTGGCAAAGTTACTGAAGCGAATTGTCATTTCTTTCTCCAGCTCATTTTATAGATGAGGAAACTGAGTCAAACAAGGTTAAGTGACTTGCCCAGGGTCACACAGCTTGTAAGTATCTTGAGATTTGAACCCATGAAGATTAGTCTTCCTGAGTCCAGACCCAACACTGAATCATCTAACTGCCCTATATGCTTAGCCTTCTGTAAATTCACCATAGCACATCCAACGAGAAGGGCAGGGAGGGCATTCTTCACTTTCTTTAGATATTTTCTGCATCTAAACAGAACATATGGGATGCTCATTAATTGTCCTTTACACTCACTTTAAGATCAGGTCATGGTTCTGGATCTGGAAAGGACCACAGAGGTCATTTGGCCCTCCCTATCCCCCATTTTATAGATGAGGAATCTAACCCTCAAAGAAGTTAAATGTCTTGTTCAAGGTCACAGTCAGTAAACATCAGAAGTAGACTTTGAACCCAGAGTTCTAATTCATGAGTCAATGCTCTTTTCACCGGGTCACTTCCAATCTTATTTTTCTCTCTTGACTATGTGACCTGTGGAAGCCTTTCCTCTCATCTGTGCATCTCCACTGTTCAAATTATTGATACATTTTGTTTTCGCACAACAGATGCTTTCCAACATGCCTTTTTTTTCTGACAAAGTATAATTCCTGCAAATGTTTAATTGATTGTTATAAGAAAGGACAGCTGTATCTCCCCCGACTTCTCATTGCCTGGTCAGCTATCGGCCTCTCCGTGGACATTCTCCATATGTACTTTGAGGTAGTCATTCCGTGTGAACTTCTTGTGGCAGAAGGGGCATTCAGCCATGGGACGATTGGGGTTGTGGGTCAGCTTATGGCGGATCAACATTTTCTTCAGGCTGAAGGACAAGTCGCAAACCTGAATGATATTAAAATCAATAGCATCTTTAAAATCCCAAAGATACGTGAAGCTCAACCCAATACCACATAAACATCGTGCTGCCAAACATATAAGGGTCCACAGTTTTAGAGCTGGGGAGGGTCTTAGATATCACACAGCCCCATCCCTTCATTTCATAAACAAAGAATGTGAGGCCCAAAGAGGTGATCGTTTCCCAGATGCTCCTTTCTCTCCCTACCACCTGGTCATAGGATTATTGGCTTTAATATGTTTAACATGGAAAGAAACATTAGAATTCATCTATTCATACACACACACATATATATACATGCACATACACACAAACGCACACACACACACACACACACACACGCAGATGAGGAAATAGAAGCCCAGAGAAGACTCCTTAGACTTTTCCAACATTACTCAGAAAGAAAGTAAGAGAACTCAAACCTATGTTCAGTGATTTCTCACTCAAAGCTTCCAACAGACAGTAGAGGTCCATGGCCTCCAAACTTAGGCTTCAGGATGCCATTGAGTTGAGGTATACTTCTAGCATTATCATTGTAGTAATATTGATAACAAACATTTACATTACATTGTGTTAGTTAGTGAATCATTTTTGAATCAATCCTAGAGATACTTTAAAAATCCTCCTTCAGTCTTTTCACTTGTATTTTTTTTAATTGATATTCATTAGTGATACTCATCTACAGCACTTTTTTGTTTATCCTTTCTTACTTCAGTTATTGGAACTGTATATAACTCATCAAAGGAGTTTTATAATATTTTCTTCCTCAGATTTTGACAATAATTTGTGTAATATATGTATTAATTATTTATTAAATATTTGGTAGAATTATTCCCTAAATTCAAGTAGCTCACTCCTCACTTTACCTCCTTTCATGCTTCCTTTGTAGTTAATTGAACTTCCATTAATGAAGCTGGATTTTAAATGCCATTATTTGCAATTAATTTAGATATTTTGTATTTTTTCAATCCCACATTCTTTTGTTTATTCATTCATTTTTCATTATTTATTATTATATTCATATTTATTTCAAAACATCTTTTGTATTTGTTTTAAGTTTATTTATTGATTCTGTTTCTTAATTGAATGTTCAATATTTTCATTCATTCATTTCCCCCTATTTTATGAATTTATGTTCTCAGGGATGTATACACACATATAATATATGCATATATGTATATATACATATCTATCTGTGTGTGTGTGTGTGTGTGTGTGTATATATTTCAGTAGTGCCTTGGTTTCATCTTTTAAAACACTGAATGTTATTTAACATTATTTTTCATAAAGTTACTAATTATTTCTATGATCTTGTCTTTAACCTACTCATTCAGAATATTGGATTCTTCATTTTTTTCTCTATCTTTTCCTTATGGTCTACATATTATTATTTGCAATTTGCTATGGTCTGTAAAGGATGTTTTGGATAGCTGCTTCTTTTTTACATATATTTATTATTCTTTTTTGCCCTAGCACATGGCCTATTTTTGCAAAATTATCACATGCCAATGAGAAGTATGTATATTCTTTCATTTTCTCCTTCAGAAGACACCATAGGTCATTTAGCTTGAATTTCTCCAAGAGTGTGTTCAGTTTTCTATTTTCCCTTTTTGTTTGCGATTTCATTAGATTTTCATGGTGCTAGGAGAGAACAATTGCAGCCTATTATTAATTAGTCAATAACTCTTAAATGCCTACCATGTGCCAGGCATTGTATTAGCCACAGATCTTATATTCTAATGACAGACACAATAATTACATATATACATACATGTGGCTATTTATAGCATAAATACAAAGTGAACATATGTACACACACACACACACACACATACACACACACACATATATATATATATATATATATATATATTCATTGTCTCTTTAACATCTAAAAAGAAAGCATAGTGGAGTTAGCATGTATCATGTCTACTGCACCTATATAATACTCCTCAGAATGACTTCACAAGGCTTATTTCATATTTGTTAATATTTGATAAATAACTATGACTACCTACCAACTTGTACTACAGAGTTGAAGATAATAAAGGAGATGGTGGGACTCATAGCCTGCTTACTACACATACTTAAATATTGTTTAAGTGATGAACCGAATGAGACGTTATTTAGTCATCATCCACTCAGAAAAATGCCAACAGAAAGAAATGACTGTACAATGTCCAAGTTCAGTGCCAAGATAATCGTATAGGTGAGAGTCCTGTTTAGGAAACTTTGTATGCAAAGCATAGATGAGCAAACTGATGGAGGGTATTTAATACCCTACCACATTGTAGAGAGACTGAGCAATGTTCCAAGATACACCTCAACTTCAGAAAATACTCAATGTTCTATAAAAAGATGCTTTGAAAGCATCCATTGCCTACTTCCGTTCGTCAAACTTTCTGAGAAGCAGTGATGATGAATAACGAACAAACCTCATTCAAAAGAAAGGACTTCACTCTCACATTGCAGAAAGGCAGCCAAATCTAGATTAAAGCTCCGAACATTATGGAGAGGACATGGGAGTGGTGAGACAGTGTGGGGGAAAAAGGACGTGGCACGGAGTCAGGTGACTTGCATTTGAATCCCAGGTCTCAGATACCTTCTGGTTTTGTTATCTTGGCCAAGTCTCTTGAAGCTTTCCCTAGCATTAGTTTTTCTCTTCTTCAAAAGAGAGAAGAGAACACTTTAATCAATCAACAAGAATTTTTTTTAAATGTGAGACACGTTGCACCAAGCACTGGAAATGCACTGACAAAAAGAAAAGAGTTCCTGACCTCCAGGAGTTTACATTCTAAGAGGACACAATTTGTGCAAGTATAAGTATATGTGAAGTGTATACAAACTAAAATACATGGCAACAATCTGGAGAGTAAGGTAGCAAAGATATAATTAGGTCTGATAGACAGACAGACAGACAGACAGACAGACAGACAGACAGACAGATAGATAGATAGATAGATAGATAGATAGATAGATAGATAGATAGATAGATAGATAGATAGATAATAGATAGGGCATTTCCTATGTGCTCTGTGCCAGGCACTCTACCGAGTATTAATAAAAAACACAATTTAGAAAGAGACTCTCCCTGCCTAGAAGGCTTAATATTCTAATGGAGAAAGACAACACATCAAAAGGAATTAAAAGGTGAGGGGAGGATGGACCAGAGTCCCCAAATAGTGGCAAGGAATACAAGTCAACTGTCATTGGCTGGAATGAGCAGTGCAAAAAGAGAGGATGGCATGTGTGGGAACTTCATCAAATGGAGCTTCTGGGAGGTATTCATTAATTGGAAGAAGAGGCAAGAGAGGTTGAGGCATCTCTACACTGAGGAGGCCATTGAGGCCAAGGTGGAAAAGTTATCTGGGGAGTCAGGGGCTGAGCTGAGCTCAAAGTGATGAAGAAAACAAGGACCAGAAAGGTGAGTGATTTCCCTACAGCCACATAATTAGGAAGGTTCATAAGTAGGATTTGAACCAAGGCTTCCATGTATCTGGCACGCTATTCCTCATACTATGATACTTCAGAGGTCATCCAGCTCTCATTTCGTAGAGGCAGAGCCTAGGATCCAGAGAGAAATTATTTCTAAAGTTCTAAAAGCTAGTGAATGGCAGAGCTGGAATTAAACCTCAGGTGTTCTGCCTTCATTTTTCTGCTTTTGTTTTTCCCTTTCCAATATGCCACCTTGCTCTCTGAAGCATCCAAGATCTGTCACAAGGCAGGAAATGATTAATTACCAAATGAGGATTATGGACAATAAGCTCTTCAGACTCCATCCTTTTTTGATCACACTATTTTTCTTCCCATTATAATACTGAGAACAATCCATTACTATATTTCATTTAATTCCTCTAAATTCACTTTTTAATGAAAGTTGGATAATTAGGGAGAATTTTCAAGAGGAAAAATCATATTTAAAGGGTGTATCTAGCAGCAGTTTACAGGATGAATTAGAAGAGTCAGGACCAGGGAGAGGGACACCAGTCAGGCAGTTGCAATACTAGTCTGAGAAATAGTGATAAGGATCTGGACTAGGTTGCTCATGCCTTCTCCTACAAGGCTACCTTTCATGTGCTTTGTAAGTATCTTATATTTGTCTACTTATGCACATGTTCTCTCCCCAACTGGAATGTAAGCCTCTTGAGAGCAGGAATTGTTTTGTACCTTTTTTTTATTCTCAGCACTTAGCACAAGGCATGGCAAGTTGTAATCCTTTAATAGATGCTTGCTGATTAATAGGGTGATGGCAGGGGGGATGGAAATGTGGAGACAGGTCAATGGGAAATTATGAAAGGAATTGAACTTAAATTTTGGGTCTATGGAGAGGCTTTTGCTCCATAGCAGTTTTGAACAACTCCTCCTTCGCCTCCTCCTGTTACTACTACTACTACTACTACTACTACTACTAAAACAGTAATTGCAGTTAGCATTTATATAGTACTTTAAGATTTTCAAAATACTTTACCTATGTTATCATATTTAGCCCTGAAAACATTTGTGAGGTAGGTATTATATTTTCTCCATTTTACAGATAAGAAAACTGAGACTAAGAGAAAAGTTCAATGACTTGTGTAGAGTCCCATAGTAAGTGTCTGAAGTATAATTTGAGTTCCAGTTTTCCTGACTCCCAATTCAGCAGTCCATCCACTGGACCACCAAGTAACCAGCATAAGTGTGAGGAGTTATTTATTCACTGATGGTGCAGGACACAAAGTAGTGGGAGCGACATCAGATAAGCAAGTTGTGGCTGAAGAATCAGATCACCGATTCTGAGATCTTAAAGGTGGGCCAGCCAGGTGGCACAGTAGATAAAGCACCAGGCCTAGAGTCAGGAAGACTTGAGTTCAAAATCAGGCCTTAGATATTTACTAGCTGTGTGACTCTAGGCAAGTTACGTAACCCTGTTTGCCTCAGTTTCTTCATCTGTCAAATGAACTAGAGAAGGAAATGGCAAACCACTCCACATCTTTGCCAAGAAAGCCCCAAATGGGGCCATGGAGAGTCAGACACAAAGGAACATCAGAACTATGTCTTGAGTAGGACACTAATAATACTGCTAATAGGCAGTTTTGCAATGCGTTGAATTTTGCAAAGCTGTTTACATACATTATATCACTTGATCTTATCTGAGCCTCACAACAATGCAAAAACTGAAACAGACTTGAAATGACCTGCATACAATAACATGGCTAATGGGAGTGAGGATTTGCAAAGATCAGAAGGGCCCTGGTACAAATCACTGACTTAGGAGTTAAACCTCAGAGCAATAAGGGTGGGGGGAGATGTGACAAGGTGAGACCCTTATGGGAGAAAGAAGCAGGTGATTACAGCATGACCTGAGAGAAAGTGAAATTCTCTATAAAAAGCTGGTGCCGGAGGGAAGAGATGAGGAAGAGACCAAGGATGAAAGGAGTTTTTCCATGATGGGACAAATGTTCCACAGGGCACAAGATCAGGAGTTGTATGAGTTGTGGTGCATGGAAGGCACCCTACTTTCCACCTTCATTGTTACTTCAAATCGCATAAATGCTTCCCTTCGATTAATCATGGAATCATTTCAAACTAGGGAGACCTCAAAAACCATAATGTACACCCTCCTCATTTTACAAGAGGGAACTTGGCTCCTTGCAGAAGAGGCATCTTATTTCTCACATCCTTTCAACTTTATTAAACTGCATAGTGGTGAAATCAACCAAGGTCCTCCCCCAAAGCACATCTATTTGGGATTACAGAAAAAAAGAAGGATTTCCACCTGCCAAAAAAAAAAAAAAGCACAGATGCAGGAAAGGTGATTTTTCCCCTATGAAGCCTGTAAAAATACTTTACTCTGACAACATCATTTTGATCCCAAATAATCTTTTTGGCACTTGGTGACAGGCTCTGCTGGTCAATTTGTTATTAATAGCTAGATTGGTAAATTGTAACCATTTGTATCAATAGGTTATTAGAAGGAAATGAATGAGCAACAGAGCAATTACTCACATAAGGGAAGGAAATTGAAGCTCTAAGCACCACCACCCCCAGTTTGGGACAGGGAAGAGGGATGGCAAGGAGAGCCCGAATGAGCACAGACAGATGTGTTTACTTACAAAACTATCAGGATGAATTAGGTTTCAGTGTCTTGGTAAGGCTAGTCTGGATACCTCTGAGTGGAGTGGATAGAGTGCCAGACATAGAGACGAAAAGACCAGGGTTCAAATCTCACCTCTGACAACAGATTAGCTGTGTGATGCTGGCCAAGTTATCTGACCTCTCAACCTCAGGTACCACAGCTAATACTGTGGGGATAATGCTGATGTCTACCTCTCAGGATTGTCATGGAAATCAAGATAAGGTGTGGAAAGTGTTTCTCACATCAGAAAGTGTTATAGAAATGTGAGCTATCATGATGATGGTGGTGGTGGTGATATCCCTACATTAAATCTTGCTTATCTTTAGAAAGAAGATAAAAAGATCTGTACTATCTACTACCAGGGCTGCTGAAATTCAAATGTAAAGTACTCTGTAAATATTAAAGGGCTATTTAAATGATGATGATGACAATAAGAGCTAATACACACACCTACACACACCTACTATGTGTCAGACACCATGTTAAGTGTTTCATAAATATTATTGCATTTCATCTTCACCACACTGGGAGGTAAATGTCATTTTTATTTTCATTGTACAGATGAAGAAACTGAGGCAGTCAAGAAGTCAAATGGCTTGCCGAGGATTGAATAGCTAGTAAGTTTCTGAGGCTGAATTTGAACTGAGGTCTTTGTGATTGCAAGCTCTCTCTCTACTGTTCCAGTCATGTCAGCGATCCTCTTCATAATAATTATACACTCACCATTTGTCTACCATAGATGGAGGGACATGTATATATGATTCATAGAATTTTTCACCTAAATTATAAAAAGGCTAGGGGGTACACACTCTGTTTTCTGCTAATACTAGGCTGCTGGAGGGTCTTCCTTGCTACAGCAGTCTGCAGAATATGCTCTTAGCCTCTGTGGATACGGGGCCATAAATGGTCATGACAATGGTTATGTGATCTATAACAATACAGTTCCATAATTGTATTCAATGCCTGTTGTTTGGTTAGCACCAGGTTTGTCTCAGGAGGTGATAAATGTAGAAAAGGCACACTCCCTGCCCCCCTAGAAGCCAGTCTAGTAGGAAGGATAAAACACCCTTCAAGATAAATATCATGTACAAGCGCACCCTTTAAGTACCTTCGAAGTACCCAGATGATGCATTGGGTGGAGTGCTGGAAATGGAATCAGTTCAAATTCTCCCTCAGCCACATAATAGTTGTGTGATCCTAGGCAAGTCATTTAAATTCTGATTGCCTCACTTTTTCTCCTCTGTAAAGCACCTACTTCCCAGGATAGTTGTGAAAATAAAATAAGAAAATATTGTAAAGCACTTTGTAAAACTTAAAGTGTTATGTAACCGTTAGCTATCATTTGTTATTATTAATTATTATTATTATTATTAATATTAGAGAGGTTCAAAACATAGTGTCCTGTGTAAAGTCTGGGGTGAAATGTCATGGAGAGGATTGGAGCAGAGAGGGAAGGGGAGAAAAGGAGGGCTCTCAGAGTGGGTGGTGGGGAGTCCAATATGCTTCTCAAGAAGAGTGCTCCTCAGAGAAAATAATGAAAGCACCTGCAGAGATGACTTGCCCTGGGAAGGCAGGCCCCACAGACCACAGAAGTGCAGATTGGGCATTAGTAGTATTAAGGGGCTAGAACAGAAATTGTTTCCTCATTCCCCAAATCCCCAGGGTCTTTTCTAGTCTCTTCACTCACATGAACAACATGCAATAAAAACGAAAGATTGAATTAAGATAAATGACCATTTGCTGTTTTCATGGAAAAGCAGACTATTAGTACGGTCATAATATGAGAAAAGTAGTTTGCGGACCTTAAAGCACCATCCAAATTAGCTATTCATAATAAGAATTGTTATGATTATCATTATTATTTTTATCATCATTCCTATCCTAATTCCCAGGGATGAAATAACCACATTTCTTCCACTTGACTTCTTGACACCACTTTCTTAAATAAAACCTCTTTTAAAATAAAAAAGGACATTCCTCGAAAAGTTCTGTGTCTCACTGTGTTTAAGATGTACAAAATTCTGGCCAGAAGGGCAGCCGCTGGCATTCACCACAGTCACTGGGGAGAAATTAGAGAGATGACAAGCTGGCTGCAGATGCAAAGGAAGTGGGGAGAGTGGCTGAAATCAACGACAACCCTTCGGAATTAAGACAGTCCTTAAAGTCCAGAAGAGAAAAGAGATAGAAGCGGAATGGCAGGATCCCCTTCAATGGCCAGGCAGAGGGAAGGATGAAACGGCAGCGAGTGTGGTGCCTGAGGCAGTCGTTGGGAATCTGCCTGCTGCATGGCCAGAAAGTCCTCTGTCGAGGCTTTACAAAGAAATCATAAGGCAACCAAATCCAAGTGCATCACTGGCAAATTTCTCTTTCCTTGTTAGAACACCAGGCTTGGTGTCAGGAGGACCTGAATTCAAATTTTACCTCAGACCTTAGTAGCTACGTAACTGTGAGCAAATAATTCCATCTTTCTGGCTCTCAGTTTCTTCATTTGGAAAATGGCATGAATTATAATAGCATTGACCTGCCGGGGTGATAGGATTGAATAAAAAACAAACCACTCCAGTATCTCTGCCAAGAAAACCCAAATGGTGTCATGAAGAGTCAGACATGACTGAACAACAGCTGACCTCTGAGGGTCACATAACTGAGCAGGATCTTAAATACACACAGATACAGACCCACACATGAGCGTGCGTGTGCACGCACACACACTCACACATACACACTCACTCCTTTAGTGCTTCCCCCATTCCTGTCCTCCTGACTTTTCTTCTCAAACTTTCAACATCACTCAAAAATGAACTAAAAATACCCTATTTTTAACTCATTTAAAAAAAATGTTCACATTTATTGCCTCAGTTAAGTTCAGGTGCATATTCATTCATAGTTTACATAAGCTTGGCCTGATGTTTTTCTATGAATGCAGTGATGCTTTGGAGGCACTGAGATCAGTCTAGGTTCCTATATGAGCTTCTGGTCTGGAAGATTAAACAGCCAGGTTATTCAACCTATCCAGGGAAATCCCTACCATACACAGGGTTCCAGAGTTTTATGAGGTATAGAAGGGCATATCAAATAATAATTCCCATTGGGGTAAGTAATTCATTACTTGCTCATCTTTCTCACCAGACAGTAACAGTTACCCCTGACAAGCCAAGATGTCTTGACCTGCTCAAAAGCTGGGTAGGTGCAAGAGGGCCTATGGACAGCATTGTGAACTTTTGACTCAGAAGAACCGCTAAATTGTGCTCCAAAAATAAAACAGGCTCCATAGACGCTAAGCCACAAAACATATTTGTCCAGTCATTTCATCACCAGCAAGCAGGGTCAGTGCAATGATGGCCATTCACCTTGTGAGCAAAGCCTGAAGCACAAGATGATCAGAGGCCCTCTCTGTACTCAGGGGAGACCTGAGGAAAGCACTTACATCGCACTGGAATGGCTTCTCACCAGTGTGTGTCCTCATGTGCTCATCCAGGCCTCGTTTCTGACTGAAGGCTTTGTTGCACTGAGAGCATTGGTAGGGCTTCTCCTGCATGGAATGAGAGGCAACAAGGAAAAGTGGGTCAGGCAGTGGAAACGATCTGATACCTCCAAGGGAAAATCACAGGCACAGGTTTCTAAGGATTGTTCAGTGAGTCTGGAAAACAATGGTCCCTTTTAACTGTGCAGGTTACAGGATTTAAAGGTAGAAGAGAGTAAAGAGATCACTATCCAGCCTTTCTCCCCAGTCCCATCAATTTAGCAGATGAGGAAACTAAAGATTAGAGTCACACAACAGTCAGTGTTGGAGGCAGGAGTCAAACTGAGGTCTCCTGGCTCCAAATCCACCATTCTTTGGACTTCTCCATACTTCCTCTCATCTTGTGAGATAGAGGACACAGGGACAGAATGCTGCATTTGGCAAGGTGAAGAGCTGAGTTCTACTTCAGTCTCTGGGACTTACTAGTTGAGTGACCTTCAACAAGTCACTTAACCTACTCCATCTTCAGTTTCTTCAACTGTAGGGAAATAATAGCATCTTCTTCAAGGGGTTTGTTAATTTTTTTTTAGGATAAAATAAGATATTAGTACAGTGCTTTTCATACCTTTAAATGTAAATGTTGCCTGGCCTGCTATTACTATTATTAATTTTCATCATCATCACATATATATACATATATATACATACACACACATTTATATATACATATATATACATACACACACATTTATATATATATATATACATATATATATATATATATAAAATCATGAAAAGTAACTTTGAATAAGTCTACAGGATAATCAGAGAGGGAAAAACTATTCAGGTTTTTTTTTTATCTAAAGGGCTAATTTTCACAAATTTAGAATCACAGAATCAGAAGAGAGGTCATGGGTTCTAGCTCAACCATTTCCTAGAAACACAAGTTTCCAAGTTACAGAATAACTTACAAATAACTTACTTATTTACTTACATATAAGTTACACAAGGGACTCTGGACCTTTTTGGTGTCATGAACCTCTTTGGCAGAGTAGTTATGACCATGCCTCTCCCCCTTTCTAAATGTTTTTAACGAACAAAATAAGATACACAGAATTACAAAGTTAGCCAAAGGTTAGTGATCATGAAAATGTGCTTCTTTTTTCCATCCAAGTTCACTTAGGTCCAGAAATCTACAAACAGACCCCTTTGTTTCCCAGATTAAGTATCTGTGTCTGTTAATATATCTAACAAATAGTCATTGAGCCACATCATTGAAAATCCAACCCATTCAATTTATCCTGACTTTAATCTCTAAAGTTTCATCCATCTTTAAGTTAATTATCCTGACTCTATTAGGTTAGGGTATTTTAAAAATTATTGAAATGCAAAAAAAGACACAGATATCAACAGAATAAATTCAGTATTTTTAATGCCCCTTTCTCAGAATTCAAAAAATCTAATAGAAACATAAAAATAAAAAGAGAGAAAAATAAACAAACTGTTGGAGAATTTAGAGTTGATACAGTAAAGTATATATAAATTTTGTATCATCAATGGTGCTTTTACAAAAAGGATGCAGAGAAATGATGAAGTGTAATGGGAGACTGGAGCATATATAGATTCCCTATGTGGAAAAGGGTAGGAAGACTTCCCAGTAGAGTTGAGATGACATATAATGGAATTGCCTCAATGAGACTTAAGCATGTTTAGGCATTGTGTAAGTGGTTCCAGTTTTCTATCTACTTGATGGATATCAGTATTTCTGGCTAAAATTATGGGGCCAGAAGTGAATGGCCTTAGTCAGCCCTAGGCACCTTTGCTCTCTTGTTTGAATCTATGTTCTTAGTTTGAACAACACCAGGCAAAAAGTCAGTCTTAGGAGGGAAGAAGCCTTAAGGTTTCTCTATCAGAAGCTGGCGTGTGGCCCAAACTGACCTGGGTTCCCTGCCTTAGTATTTGTTTGCCTGTTTGTTTTCCATTCTAGTTGAAATACATCAGAAGCAATGACTTTGTGAATTTTGAATAGTCAGAAATGTAAGTGACCTGAGATATGAAAGTCTGTGAATTGAGAAGTCAGAGTCCATGTTAAATTTTGCAGCCAGCTCAGTATTAAGGGAGCAAGAAATGACCTTTGGGATCCAAGCCAGTGGAGACAGGATTCATTTAGCAGTGATGCTGCATTTTGATGTGAACTGGGTGAGACCAGGGCTACGCAAGACTGTGCTAAGAATGAGCCTAATCTCTCCAGAGACAATGGTGATATAGAGAAGAAAGTATCAGTGAGGTTTTAGAGGGAAATATTTCTGCTTTGTTCTTCACATATCTATCCTTTTGTGAAAACTAATAGATGTTAGCTGGTTATATGTAACTGGGGTGTTAATCATGGAGGCAAAAAATGGGGGGGGACACACTTGGAATGAAAGCTGAAGTCAATAGTATTAATGAAAAGACATTACCTCGTCAGGAGTACCTAAAAGAAACCTGAGGGGAAGATGTAACAAACTGATTTTGGTAGACGATGCCAGAGAATACTTACAACATAAATATATGTTGTTGTTTTTTAAAACTAAATATATTTAAGCTTTAGAAACAGGTGGCACAATAGATATGTCTGGCCTGGAGCCAGGAAGGCATGAGTTAAAATCTAACCTCTCCTATCCATGTGACCTTGAGCAAGTCACTTAATCTTTGCCTCAATTTTCTCAACTGTTAAATGGGGATAACAGTAGCATCTACTTTCCAGGAGTTAAAAGAATCAAATGACATAATAATTATAAGGGGCTTAACACAGTATCTGGCACATAGTAGGTGCTATACAAATGTTAGCTATCATTATTATTATTATTATTTTCATCATCATCATCATCATCATAATTAAATGTGGTAATTTACACAGGGAATTTAAACGAAAGATATGGACCAAAATTAATGAAAAACAACTATCAAACACCAAGCTCCGTGCTAAGCACTGAGGAAATAAATACAACAGAGAGACAGCTGGGTGATACAGTGGATATATTGTTGGGCCAGTAATCATGAAGACCTGAGTTCCAATCTGGTCTCAGAAACTTTCTAGCTGTGTGATCCGGGGCAAGTCACTTAACCTCTGCCTTAGTTTCATCAGCCATAAAATAGAGATAATAATAACACCTACACGCCAGTGCCTCTCTTGTTGGAAGGATCAAATAAGACGATATTTCTAAGTGCTTAGTGCAGCACCTGGGACAGAGGTGCTTAATAAATGCTTCTTTCTTTCCTTCTTCCCTCCTTCCCTCCCTCCCTTCCTCCTTTCCTTCCTTCTTTCTTTCTTTCCTTCCTTCCCTCTTTCCCTCCTTCCTTCTTCCCTCCATCCCTTCCTCCCACTATTCTTCTCTTCCTTCCTGTTCCTGTCCTCAAAGGACTTATATTCTAAAAAGAAGAAACAACACAAAGAGGGATATGGTAGCTATGGAAAGATGAAGTCACAGGGATGATGAGTAGAACTTCTAAAAAGTAGAAGCAGCGTGAGTCTACCAAGACACGCTCCAAGCATACATATTTCATGTCTTGTACAATTGCAAACTAGGCTATCGTAAAGTAATAAAGATCACCTACAATAACTACAGGGGTGTTCTGCTTCTGGTTATTGTGTCAAAATACGATACCTTCTAGATTAATTTACAAATTGAGTGCAACACGGACCAAACCACCAAAACCTATTCATAGAACTGGATGAGATGAGAACAAAACTCATTTGGAGAAATAACTGTAAAATCTCACAACCTTGTGGATTGTTTTTAAAAGACGCCAGTGTTCATGAGATTAGCATGCCCATACTTGAAATTATAATATTAAAGTAGCAATACTTAAAACTACGTGGTAATGTATCATAATAGAAAATGAGATAAGTGAAATAGTTCTAATAAACTGAAGAACCCAAGTTACTTGGGAAAGGACTCTATATTTGATAAGTCCTACTGGGGGAAAGAATGCAGTTTGACAGATATTTTATTTTGATCAATATCCTGCTTTGTATACCACAATGAGCTCAAAATGGATATGTAGTGTGACTATTAAAAACACAGTAAAAGCATAAACAAAATGGGTGAAAACCAAATTAATTACTTCACTGATGTAGCTAGGGGAAAAATTCTTACTCAAACAAAGGCAATCACAAAAGATAAGATAAATAACTTTTTGATTTCATGATATTGAAAAGCTTTTCTCCAAAGTCAATGATTCAGAAATGGTGGGAAACTGTGACAAATAGGGGAGTGGATAGGGACAAAAACCAGAGAAACATAATTGCAACAAATACCATTGGCAAAAAATAATTTGCACCAAATATCTTTGGTAAATCTCTAAAATCTTTATATGTAGGAAAATAATACAAATATATAAGATCAAAGCCAAATGGATAAGTGGGCAAAAGATATTAACAACATGTTCTCAAAACAACAATTACACATTATTAATATCTGTGAAAGAATCTCCAAATCCCTAATGAAAAACAAATATGAAAGCAAAGATCCCATATTTTACCTGACACCTGGTAAATTGGCAAAGTGACAAAAGATGTAAATACTTAATGTTGTAAGGGTAGAAAAAGGCAAGCATACTAATATTGATATGTTGGGAAGTGTTCCACAAATTCTGGAAAGCAATTTGGGAATCGTGCTATGGCAGTGCCTAAAATGTCCATACCCTTTGACCCAGAGATAACATTCATAGGACATAAATACCAAGAAGGTCGAAGAAAGAAAGGCCCTATGTGTGCCACATGTGTGTGTATCTGATAATAAAGAAATAGAAACAAAGTGATGTCCAATGGTGGAGAAATGGATAAATAAATTACAGTACATTAATAGATAATAATAGATAGACTTGCTGTGTTTGGCCCTATGGGCATAATCAAACCCAAAGGTGAAAGTTGCTGAACGGATTCAGCTGTATCTAAGGAAAACTCCTCAGGTGTTAGTAGAGCTATCCCAAAGACGAATTGGCTGCCTTTATGAGTAGTGGTTTTTCTTCCTATATAGATCCTCAAACAAAATTGAATAATGTTGTTGGGGATGCTTTCAAGATGG